GTCCAGTGCTTTTCTGTCCCCTCCATTCCTCTCTTCCCTCTCACAATCGGGCAGATGAATAACAAGGATTTACTGATGAGAATAAAGGCAGGAAGGACAGTGAGTTTCTGGGGGCTGCCATAGCAAGCTACTGCAGACTGGGGCCCCACAAGCATTAATACAGGAGTGAGCAGTTTCTGTGGACCATGTGGATGATGGGACAAACTGTGCTCTCACCTTCTACTACTCTCCAGGGCCAGAAATGCAGAAAGAACAGTCACTTCAAGGCTTCGAAGATCTGTGGCCATAAATACCCTAAATCATACTTAGGGACTTCTGAAACCGCTTCCAAGATAATGGCCTTTTCATTTCCCTGTTTTACCCTCCTTGGTGGAAGCTCTGGTAACACTTCAAATGCTTTCACTAAATAATCCCAGATTCAAAAACAAACAAACAAACAAACAAACAAACAAACCAACCAAAAAACCCAGGTTGAGTCTATGTCTTTGAACATAAAGGTAGCAGCACAGAACTCCATCTTCCTTCCTTGTCATTTGCCTGGATCTATTGTGCTCTCTTCCTCCATCTCCTCAACCCATCTCCATATCTAACTATCTGAGTTTTGGAACAAGGACATAATCAAAGTTTTCTGAATGCACATTTCTTGGGATTCCTTAGAGAGGGAGACTCTATTTCATGGACAGTTATTACAGGAAAACTGCTGAATTAATCCTTCAGACCAAATCTCAATCCCTTACTCAGGAGTAAGAAAACAGCTGGTAGTACTGAAGGCTTCCTTGGGAACATGTAGTTTGTGGCTAAGAGCTGTGCTTTCATGAGCACTTGCACATGCAAAACACCATCTAGTGGCATTGGCAGCTGCATTTACTCACTAGGAGCACTGAGCCTGAGAGGGTCTAGATAACTCCTTTAAAGTGTCATTCAAAGTGGTTGCTTAAGCAGCAGAAGGGTCCTCAAAAGCACTGAAAGTCTGAAAAAAGGGCACCTCTAAAGACATTCTTTAGTTTCTTGGATCCTTGGAAACACTGTTCAGAGGATTTCCAGGCAGAGGAAAAGCCGTGTTCTAAGACCCAGAGGTAGAAGAGAGGATGGCACTCAATGAGCTGAATGGAGCCTACTTGGCTGCGATGGAGAATGTTTAATGGGGTTACAGGGAGAGAGTACTGGATAAATGGGCAGAGGATGTACCTAGCAGGACCCTTACAGCCCTAATAATGGTTTTGGATTTTATCTTGAGGTGTTATCAGAGAGTGTTAAACACAGGAAGGAGATATTCAATTTATCTTTCCATTTAAAAAAAAAGTTTGGTTCAGTAGTGATATGGAGAATAGACTGTAGTGGGCAGGAATGGATACAGAGAGATGGCTAGTTAGCAGGCTGCTGGACTTGCAGTCAGTGGCTTGGATTCCAGCTGTGGCAGAGAAGATAGAGAGAGGTAGAGAGGTCTGATAGTTTAGTAAGAAGACAGAACAATGAAAAAATCTTCATCATCACTTATCATCAGGGAAATGCAAATCAAGAGCATAATAAGACATAACTTCACATCCTTGGAACTAGAAACAAGATATTGGCAAGGATGTCGAGAAACTTGGAACTGTCAGCAAAACTTTTGGGAAATGTATTATAGACGACTCAGCCCCTATGGATAATAGTATGGAGGTGTCTCAAAATATTAAAATGAGGTCTACCATATGATCCAACAGTTCCATTCTTAGTTAGCTGCCCCAAGTATACAAAACCACTAGCTCAAAGGGATATTATGCACCCCTGTGTTCACTGCAGCACTACCTAGAACAGCCAAGATATGGAGACATCCCAATTGCCCAATGACAGATGAGTGGATACAATAATATTACTCAGCAATAAAAAAATGAAATATCGGCATTTACAACATGGATGGAACTGGAAAAGATCATGTATGTAAGTGAAATATGTCAGAAGGAGTAAGATAAATATCATATGATTTCCCTTTTACGTGGAATCGAAAGAAACAAAATAAAGAAACAGACAAAAGGAAACCAAAACAAATCCTAGAAATCTGACTGCAGAATTGAGGTTACCAGAGGGGAGGGTGACAGGAGATGACTGTGGAGTAAATTGGGGAGAGGGCCTAATGGACTATAGTAGAGGATTATGGGTGCTTTGGTGGTGGGTGTGGTGCGGTAACATACATCTGAAGACATGTGAACCTATACCTCTAAATGGCATACAGTGTTGCAAACCAATATTACTTCAAAAAAAAAAAAGATATTACTTAAGAAAAAAAGATGAGAAAAGACTGATTATTTGATGAAGAGTGAAAGTGATAAGGAACCAAGAATATCGGTTTTCTCGTTTGAACCATTGAAAGAAGAACATCAATAGAGCAGGAAGAAATGAAGGGGCAGGCTGAGTCATAGATACTAACAGGAAATTTGCAGGTAGGAGAGATTTGTCAACATGGATAAGAGTTTCAGAGAAGCATTTGCAAAAGGAATAAAATAACCGTTATGCCACAATCATTTGAAGCCAGTGCCAATGCCTTCCTCCCCATCACGCCTAATCTAGCTGGGCTGTTCTAACTCAAAAATACAGAAAGTGGACTTACTCTGGGAGCAGGGTTATGAAACATATTTATGTAGTATTTTCCAAAGGATTGGTTATGAATTTGTATTTGTAACTTGTTAAGAAAAGAAATTCAGCACAAGGAAAACTGTAACTTTGAAGATAGCAACCATAATATAGTTGAATAATGATAATAATCCTATATCCTGCTTTGGTCTTGGCTTTGATAGTCTATAACTATTACCATTTTTAGACAAATGGTCAACTGTCCTCTGCTAAGGCCAGGCATGTGCAATTTTTCTTATGTCCTAAGTTTCTTGGTAATAATCTCTCACCATGAATGCTACTCTTTCCATATGTCAAATATGCAGGTCCATTTTTTTACAAAGTGGTTGTCGACATGCTGTGCCTGGAACCCTGAATGCCACCCTACTGATTCTAATGGGAAAACATGAGTTATGGCTTTGTGGTAAGATGAGACTAGGGGGGAGTGGAGGTAACAGGTGAAAGTAGTGCTGAATTGGGATAGTGAACTTCTCAATGACAATCTTGCCCAAGGTGGAATACTTGTTTCTAGTTTAAGGTAATTGTATGTTGACACCCAGGGGCATAAAATATTCCTGGTCCTTGCCATGGAGATAGCTTCTATCCCAAGAAATAATCTATATTTTTGTATAATTATAATAAAATGCTCCATGAGTAAAAGAGACTTTTCAAAGATCAGTTTCTCTTGCTACGTCTATCAAGTTAACTTTTCATATTTCAGTTTCTAGTCTTACTGACAGCAACTAGGGAAAGCCAATATTCTCTCTCTCTTTTTCATAAATGTCAATTGTGGTGATGGTACCATTCAGTTACCATTCTCTCGCTTATTCCTTTCTAGTGTAGCTTTCATTTGAAATTCTTTCTGCTCATTTTTATTATTTATATCAAGGCGGCAAAATTTTCTTCTGAGTGTCTCAAGAAAAGAACTATTTCTGACAAAGCTTTAGCCATTGCTACTGTTTGTTAGGTATATAATTTTTGTTAAAGGGCTTGGCAAGACCACACAGCTGCTGAGTTCACATTGTGTTTCAAAGCAGAATATTTCCAAGTGTTATATTGAAGCAGGATGTCCTAACCACAAATACAAAACAGGCTTCTTTTGAAATGCAAGTCAGAATGGGATGAGCAATAGAACCAGGAACACAAAGCTTATTGAGATGACCTGTAACATGAGTCACCACGTGGCCACTGACTTTGCAAGGGAAGTCACCAAGGCAAAAACTACCTTGTACATTTAACTCACATGGTTATAAAATCATTTAACAAACACATCACTAGGTTTTTGTCTTTTTTTTTGTATTATTTGGAAACATACTAAAGTTTCTTTAATGGTTTCCAAACTTGTGAGTGCAATTTCATTTGAAAGGGTAGTTTAAAGAAAGCAAACTCCTCTAATCCAATTTATTCTAATTAATTCAACACCCCCCCTTTATTTACTATAAATTATCTTTTGGTTAAAATTTTTAATCTATGTATGCTATGGGGATATAATTAGTCAGCTTTAAAGCATATGAACCTCAGAAGGACCCTATGTCAATTATGTCCTTACTCATGATCTTTTTATCCTAACAATTGTGCTCGGTTTCTGGTTTCACTGAGTTGGGATTAAATCAATGCATTCCTCCTGCTGCATAATTAGGACTGCTTTAAAAATATGTAATTACAAACCTCAACTGAAGATTGTGAATTGCATTCACTGTCATAACTGCCATTAGCAGTTCTAAATTCTTTCAGATCAGTGGGATAAAGATGTCATGTTAATAATTTCCCAGCTATATGCCTGCTATTAGTTATCTGCCACAATTACAGACTTGGATGGTATCCAAAAGTAGACACAGACCCTGGGTAAATGCCAATGTTTTGTGGCTCTAAAGAAATTTTTAGAAAAAAAGTATTCTTTTAGAGAATAAGTCTGTGGATGAAAGAGTTAGGATAAGATTTTTAAATTAATTAGTCACAGCCTTAATTTTATAAATAGGTAGGATCCGAATCTATCTGTCTTCCTGGGAGGAGAAAAGTGTTTTGGGTAATTACCCATTCTAACTTTGATTACTTTTTAGAGAGTGGAATTAAAATACTTTATGAAGTTGTTTCAAAGCTTTGTGGAATAGCTTTGCCAGCTCACAGACCCTTCCCTTAGAGAAAAAATTCCCAACTCCCTGTTTTTCACTGGAATCTAGAGATGGGAAGTTCATTTAAAATTAATGTAAAATCTCCCTTATCCAGGAAGCTCACCCTGATAAGTATTTTGTCCTGTACTTTCCATTTTTAAATACACAACAAAAAATATTTTCATGATTTTAAAAAAAGCTTACATACTTTCTCTTTTATGTAAACAATTTCCTTTAAAGTAAGCTCTTTGGTAAGTAGAAACTTACTTATCAAATGGTAAGGTAAACTATTACTCTGCTGAAACCCAAGTTTGATTCACTAATTTAAATTTCTCCTTGCCATTTCCATCAATTTTTTTATTAAATCTTTATAGACAATCAACCTCTTGTTATTTTATGAATTTCTAATTCAAGAGAATGTCTATATGGTGGGTTTCAAAGTTTCAATCAAATTCTTGTCTGTGATTAACTAAATATATATGTATCTTCACACACACACACACACACACACACACACACACACTGCTCACTATAATTTCCTTACTATGCATTTCTGGACGTTTATAAATGAAATGAATTGTGGGAAAATATCCCAGTGGCTCTTTACAACTACAACAATGCTCTTGTATGTGTGTTGGAATAAAGTAGTATTCATTTACTCTTTTACTTGCTTGAAGTTTATAATGTAAAGCAAACAGGTAGATTTTTGTTAAGAAACTTCAGGTTCAGAGACATAAAGGCTTTGAAACTAAGTAAATGCATACTTTAGATTAAGGAAATAAGCTTTTGAAACAAAGGGTGAGGAGAAAACCAGTTTTGCACAAGTTAATAGAATTCAGTTTATTTGTCTGAGTATTTATGGACCATTGTTAGAAAGGTGAACAACAGGCACTGAGAATTATTACTAGCATTGTGACTGTGACTTACTCTAGGAAGATGCACTCAAGTAAAAAAAGAACTGGGACAAGTGAATTAGCACCTCTCCCTTCCTTTCTCTTACTTGGTTAGTAATAGGGAAAGCTGACTAATTGATTCTAGTCTGGGTGTAGCTGGCTTCTAGAAATGTTCTTCTCCCTGCAGCTTTCCCAGAGTAGCTGTTGTGTGGCAAATGATTAACTCTGTCACCTCGGATTTTGCATGCCTGCTAAGTATGCTTTTAAGTATGCTTCAGTCTTGCAATGGAAAAAAAAAATACAAAAGTCAACAACTCTTACAGTGCAACAATTTTAATAATCCACACTAAAATGGGTGGCAGAGTTTTGTAGTTCAACATTAAGAGCAAACTTGCCTTACTTAAATTCTACTTAAGAAAGCTTTTGCTGTCTCCTAGCCCTTCCCTTAAGGTATAAAATCTACCGAAGTACTTCTAAAGTGCATATTTCAGACATTGAAAACAGCGCTGTGATTTGCTTCACAATAAAGTGGCCTGAATCAGAGAATGCCTTCCTGATATGAGGGGCTGCGAAGTTCCAGTTCAGCTACCATCTCTTAGGAAACAAGCCTTCTTATTCCCACAAGTTATACAACCTGTGAAAGCCACAGAACAGCTTTCTGAAAGAAAGAAAAAAAAATGATGCCCACTTCTGCTGTGGCAACTATCTTCTCGTACCACAGTTAATGCATCCTTGAGTCCTGGAACACTGAAAACTCAAATGACGCTTTAATTTCCAGGAAAAGAAAACGGCGGAGGGCTTGTAGGAATAGTCTGAATTTCGTGAAATTAGACACCAAGTACAGGGGCCCGTCAAAATTCCCGGGTTTAGAAGGGGGAGGGGTGGGTTGTTGGGAAGGGGTGGGAGTGGGGGGTGAGGAAGAGAGACAATTTTACGCAGCAACCGCCTATTGTTTGTCCTCTTGGGGGTCGCCAGGGAACCCCGCCTCCTCCGGAGACCTGACTCCTTCGGGGAGCAGGGTGGCGCGCACTTTCCTCTTCTCCTTAAAGCGACCCGAACGCGAGATCTTCAAATTTCGACGACTGTTGCCCGATTTCTCCCCACACAACTTGTCTGGCTTGTGGGGCTCGCTGGCGCCTCCAAGGAGATTCGGGTGCTGGTTCTCCCGGGAGCTACTACTCCAGTCCGGGCTGGGCGGCGCGGGCTCCCCGGGGGCAGGCTGAGCCGGAGGCTGCGCCCCCACGGCGGCTTCCTTGCTTTTCTTCCGGCTGTTAGTGAGCGATTTCCACCAGGGGCTGGAGCTGCCCGTGCCGCCGCTGTCGGCCATGGCCAGCCGGCCGTGGGCCCTGGACGCCCCGGGTGTGGAAGCGCCTCAGCTGCGGCCCCTTTCTCGGGATGGTCTCTGGCGTCCACGCAACACCTTGGCCGGCTTCTCACCGGAGGCCCTCTGGATGGAAGCCCTGGTGGCGCCCTGTGCCAGGGAAGAACACAAAACTTGGTTACCGGGTTGATCGAAATCATGCGCCCCCCACTCCCGTCGCCTTCCCTTCCCTCCACTGGCAGCAGCTCGGCCCCGGAGTGAGCGCTGGAAGAAGCCAAGAACCGCAGCCCCCACCTAGCACCACAGCGCGCGCGGGGTTGCCGGAGGACGCGTGCCCTCCAGGGCGCCACCAACTGGTTTCATGGTTCAATCTTGGCAATCCGGGCCTCAACCCTTGACTTTCCACCAGGGGAAGTGCAGAGGTCCGCGCCTGTGGAGTAACCAGGGTAAGTTCTCGGGGATATGGATTACCCGGACCCAAGAGGGCGACGGCCTGTTCTGTCACTCTGCCTGGCTGTCGAAGGACACCCAAAGGTGACACCCGGCCCAGGACGGCCTCCTCGAGGATGCACCTGGGAGAGCGCCAGAAGCAAACGAGTTGCCTTGCGCTATAGGTGAACAGTAATCATTAGACCTCCATCAAAAAGCATCGAAATTTCCCACAAACATTTTCGCTCCATAGACCATTATTTCGCGATCCTTTTCGATGTGATTTTCCCGGGAATTTACATGCCAGTAGAGTGAAGGACAAGCTCATGGTGTTTTGCTTGGTCTCCTTTACATGGTGCTTTGGGCATAATTCCTGCCTTATGACTCTCAGAGAAGTACGTCTAGACGTAATTTTCCTTGCAAGTCTCCACTCCATTCTTTCTTTCAGCCTTGAGAGCAATTTTGCATCTCTATGAAGCTAACCCCAGCTGATGGTTGAGAGTAGTCCAAGCGGTAAACCGCCTTCCCTCTTACTGCTGTGTTAAAATATGCACCAAGTCTGTTTGCACCAGGGCACTCTTAAGATTTTAGTTGACAAATTAAAGGTGGTTATTTTTCTTGCGCACTTCTCTCGCCTAAAGGAGTGAGCAACCGGGAACTCCAAAACAATCTCTTTCTTCCCAGCTTTTAAAATAGCCCTCTGCGGAGCGAAAAGGGTTTTTAAAGTTGTTATTGTTATTAGCATTAGCATTAGCATTAAAGGTCTGTGCTGGGTCTATCTGGCACTAACTGCCTGAAAGCTCAGGATTTACTTGCTCCGCGCGACTCATTTCTGAGCTTCTGCTAAGTTTCCTTGTATCCTTGGAGCCCAGCACTCCTGGCATTCGCTTGCGCGCCAGAGAGCAACATTTCAGCTCGGTTTGCTGGGGGTCCTCCTACCGGAATTGCAGGGAGAGAAAAGTCTGATTTTCTACCCTAGGCGGCGCGGCAGCCTGGGCTCAGAGACAGCGGCACCCGCTCCTTCTCAGGACACTAGTGCAGCGACTTGAAAACAATGTAAGGAAAAACTCCCCAAAGTTCTTCCCGTGCAGAAGGCTCCCACAACCCTCAGGCAGTTGGCAGCTGGGTTTGCAAACACCCTGCCCCCTCCTACTTTCAGATCAGAAAAACACCCCAAATTATTTACTGGTGGTGTTAGTGGGGTGGTCCTGATGATGCTTTCTGTCTTCTACCCTACACTTTCTTCTCCATCATCGACTTTGTGTGCAAGGAAGGGCTTTTCAGGAATTGAGCAAAGAAAAGATTGCAAATTATCCAATGTACACAGATCGCTTGTAGCTCATAACTTCTCAGGAGCCCGGCGAGCACCCCAGAGTGACACCCCGGCGCCAAGGTCTGCTTTGGCTGACGCAGAGTCACTCTAACTGCTCACCTGCTCGGGCTTCTTCCGACCCCCGAGACTTCGCGCTGCGCCGGCCGCCCAGAGATGGCTCGCTCGCAGCAAATTAGAAGCCCGGACGCGGCGTCCCTCTGCTGTCTTGAGGAGACCGGGCTTCTTTCTGGAAGTGTGCTAGCCAAAAACTCCGCACCCTAGCTAAGCTAAATGCGGCTGCTGATCTTCCAGGACGCTTTCAACTTCTGCTCGCTGCTGCGGTGGGCGGTGGCGGCTGGAGGGCTTGCCGGGCTGTGTACTCCGACAAGAGGGCACCGCGGCGAGTGGATACCAGGCTCGCTGCCCAGGTGAATGCCAGGCAGGCTTTCCCGGTTAGTAGCCTTTCATTCTCGGCTCGACACTCTTTCCTGATTGTGTATCCCGGGAGCTGCTGGGAGCTGGGGCGTCCGCTGCCCACTTGGCGCGGGAAAAGACATCTGCCCACCTGCTGGTTATTCGCCAAGTGATTCGAGAAACCAGAACCCCAGGGCAGGGGGTAGAAACACACACACACACACACACACACACACACACACACACACACACACACACCCTCCAGAACCAGCAGGCGGCAACCGCTGTTACAGGTGCAGGTAGGAACTTCGCTTTCCCGCCCCACAAGGGATAAGATTGGATCAGATCGCGTAGGCGGCGCCAGCATCGGGACGCATGATTGGAAAATGGTTGTGCTGAACCACTCGCCGGCCCGATCCGCCAAGAAGAAACCGTGGAGGAGCCAGGAGGCCGGGAAACGTAGGCTGTGGCTGGGCTCTGTAGATAAATGTTGCCGCACGGCTCCCTCAGCCCCTACAACATTCCCCCACCTCTGGACCTTCAACCGCGGCCACTCCACTTCCAGGATCCTAAAGTTTTGTAACTCACAGGATCTGTTTCATAGCCACGCAGAATGTGCAGAGTTTCAGTCACCTTTATTTAAAAGTTACACCATTAGCAAACTTGCTGTGTGCCAGGCAGGCGTTTTCTGGGAATTAACCCATTCACGTCCCAGCAATCCTAGGAGGTAAATTATTCTCCTCACTTGACGGGCCAAGAAGCTCTAGCACAGCGAGGGTAGAAGGTTGCTTATGGCTGGCTGCATACTTGATAGTGGCAGAGTCGAATCTGAACCCAGGTCTGACTCTGCCTGCAATAGGGTAACTGCTGTGTTATAGGCAACCTGTCTGTCTCTCGTGCCCTTAGCTAAATGAGGATGTGAATCTCCTTCTCTCAAGTGTGCAGTTCAGTGGCCAACCCCCTTCCCCCTCACTCCTCTTATAAGTCCAGGAAGTGGACCAGTGGGTTGTGTCAAGGTTTGGAGGGTTCCCTCCCTGTTCTTCTTTTTCAAAGAACTATTTGCTGTTCCTTGAACTCATGAAAACTCTGAAAGAAGGTCTATGAATGATGCATGAGCATCAATTTCAGAAGTGAAAGTTTTAATGCCTACCTCAAATAACTTATAACTTAGAATTAAATTAGGTGAAATATAGAAATAAAATTTATAGAGTATTTTAGTGCAAGAAAAAGGATACAAACTTTATCTTATTTACTTCTTAGTTTGGCATTGTTGGACTTTGTAATGTCACACACATCAATGCATTTTCGGAAGCTGGACATTTTCATCTATTTATTGGGATGAGTTTTATAGAGTAAACTTTCAGCTGTAGTACCCTGACTGAACAAACACAGGTCACCAACTCTGAGGGGAGGAAGGGTCAATTCATGATAATGCCATCCACTACAGATGAAGACTCTGGTCCAAGGAAGGTCTTGTCATTATCACCACCAGGAAGTTGTGGGGCTGATATGCTACATTGTTTGCTGATCAAATGGGCAAAAGAATGAAGACATTTAGGAAAATAAAATTTCTGCCAAATGGCTTTGTATCTTGAATAATTTAACAAAGGGCCAGCACTTTCTTAATAAATATTAAGCATTTACTAACTACTGAACTTAAAATTTCATTCTCTTACATCCCCCACTTTATCAAACAACTTTGAATATTTGTTATATTGTTCATTGCTAACTGATAATGACTTACAAATAATCCTTGCATGCAGGGAAGACATTTAAATGAAGACATGAAAGCTTACAATCCATAATGTCAACCTTTTGCACTTAAAGAACTGATATGACCCACATGACCCTATATAATTCATGATCAAAATTGTCACTCCATCTCAGTACCCACCCCCCCAAATTTATCTCTGATGTACTTGCCTCTACCATCCTCAATGAAAACTTTCTTTACAATTATTGCCCCCAACTAAATCAGGTATAATTTCATAGCACATTGTTGATTGTTGCTTTATGCAGACAGCAGTTACAATAATTTATTTTTGCTCTTTATTCCTTCTTGTAGCTCATATTTTAAAATGCAACTTCAAAATACAACCTTTAGATTTTTTTCTCTAGTGAAGATCAGCTAGTGCGCACTGTCTGTTTTGTCTAATATATTATTTTTGCTGATTATAGAATTTAGAATTGGCAGTGACTTTCAGCCCACTGAACAAATATTTTTTTCAGTGTCTTTTAGTTTAACATAATTTGTGTTGAGAAATCAGTTGCTAATCTGTCACTAATTTGAAGGTAACCTATCTTTTATTTGGTCTCTTGAGATTTTATCTTTGGTTTTCTTCAGTATTTCTGTGATGTGTCTAAGTATGGATCTATTTAAATTTTTATCCTATTTGGGATTTTGGGCTTCTTAATTTTTTTTTAAAGATTCATTTATTTATGCATACAAGAGCTGGGGTACAGGCCAGAGATGTGGGAGTGAGAGGATTCCCCAGAGACAGAGTGGGGAAGAGAACAGGCAGAGTGACCAGAGTACACTGCTGAGGGGAGCAGTGGGGAAGTCAGGAGAGGTCTGCTGCGCCGGGGATCGAACTCACACTGCAGAGGCTGTGAATTGCTTCATAGCGCGGTGCTTAACCCCTTGTGCCACCAGGGAGGCCCTTTAAATGTTTTTAGAGAATTCTAAACCATTATTCTTCTTCACAATCTCTGCCTATTCTCTCTTTCCTATTTCTGGAACTCCAATTAAACATTTGTCAAGTCTTCTCAAGGTTCTTAACCTGCCCTGTGTATCCTGATTTTTGCTTTTTATGCAACATTCTGAATAATTCCTTCTGTTCTATATTGGAATTTGAGTTCTTTCTTCTGTTGCATTGATATAGCTATTAAATCTTGACATTAACTTATACATCCTGTGTTTTTTTTGTCTGAATGTTGTCTTTGTTTATATTCCAAATCTGTTAGGTCACTGTTTTAGTCTTTTATTGTCTGTGGGTATTGCTAAACTTCTATTTTCTTGTTTTAACATAACAAACATAATTATTTTATAATTTGCCTAATAATTAAAAAATCTGAAGTCTCAGTCTGATTCTTTTATTTTTGCTGTCAGTTCTCAATCATAGGGCCTTATTTCTTGGCGTTCTTGGATATTATTGTATGCTATTCATTTTCCTTAAAAATTATTCATGGAAAAATTTAAGGCCTATGATAAAGACACTCCAAAAGAATTTTCAAGAGTTAAGGGGAATTACCAGACAAACTAAGTTTATGACTTGAGGAGTTATGGCTAATAAATACATGTGAGCAATAGTGCATTGTCACATCCTTTGGGTCAAGTCCATTCTTTCCTTCTCTCCTTGTCTGAGAAATTTTCTGTGCATGGGTGGGTACCATAGAGTTTACTTCTTGGTTCCCTAAACAATGAGGGTGTGACCTTTTGGGGGTCACTCAACCAGAGAACTATTTCCTATAAACCATTCTTCTTTGGGTGGATCCTAGGCTCATCTTCCTGCCTCTTTTGAACAGGAGACTATCAGAACTGAAGTTGCTTTAGTGCCCAGTTGTTTTCAGCAGGTAATTATGTTGTAAATTGTCGGTTTGGTGTTTGTTCCCTCAACCAGAATATAATTTTTCTGTTTATTGATTAGTTTATTGTCTGACTCCTTCACTAGAAAATGAGTTTCATTTTAAATAATGATTATTTACACAGCACTTCCTATGTACCTTGTACAGTTCTAGTTGCTTTATAAATATTAATTCAATTAATCCTCCTAAAAGCACTATGAAGTAGGCACTATCATTATTATTATAGATGAGGAAATGAGATATTAAGAACTTAAGCTACTTGTCTAAGGTCACACAGCTGGTAAAAATCAAAGCCAGTGCTTGACCCCAGAAAGATTGGGCTTTGGAGTCAGGGATCTAACAAATCACCATATTATGTGTCTTCTATGAGCACTAAAACATGGCATTGATGAATCTTTGGGACCTGGTCATTGCCCAACAGTAATAGTTCTCGACACTGATGAATAAGTGGCCCATCAAACACATAAACTTGAATGCTTTGTTGGTGACAATACAACTGACTTGTGGAAAAAAATAAAAAGTGTCAATGAAATAAAATTTAGATCCTTCAGTCCATATACTATTAGGTCAGTTTTGTTTAATTCTCATATATGAGGACAGTAGTAGAGCAAATCACCTGATAACTCTGTTTTTGTTAATGAGTTGGAAAAATCTGTCATGTTCAATAATCCCTTGGAAGGAGAAGGAGTAGGTGGTAGGATACAGATGGGGTTGAATAATGTCATACCAGAGGAGGGCTGCTGAGATTTTAGTAAATACTGTAGTTAGGGAATAAATGAAAGATTTGGAGGACTTGACTTCTCAGAACAAGACTCCACAGCACATCCTAACTCTCAGGAAACAAAGACAATTTATTCTTTGTTAGAAAATCACTGATGTAAATAAAAGTCATGTGCTACTATCCAAAGTAATGTTCCCTAGCTGGTCACCTGCTCTAGGTCAGGGCTGGGTTAAACTAGCTCCTTGGAAAGGTGACCTGCTCGCTATCTGAGGTTGTTAATTTCCCTTTTCAAAGCATGGATTCAGTTATGCTCCATTTGGCAGGTTATATTTTCTTTTTTGTGGTTTGTCACTGTGTCAGCCCATTACGTCACTGGTGTACAGGTAGAAAGTAAATATCTGATGGAAGGGTAACATGATGCAGGAAGTGAATTTTTGCTTTTCTCACCTGAATCAAGGCCAATGTCAAACTTACACGATTAGAAGTCCATAAAAAAATAGCTGTTTTCCTAAGTTATTTTGCAGCAAATTTAGCACTCAGCACTGAGCAGCAAAGCTTGGCTTTGCTTGTGCTAATACAGGGAAATCTTAAACTACACCCAAAGTGAATGAACACTCATGTTTATCCATTTGACATAATTTCATTTACATAGTGAGAAAAACTGCTTCAACTATAGCTTTTCACCTTTAATGGCAGAGCAACTCCGAAACACAGATACTACAGAGATTCTACAAGTCCTACAGCTTTAATCACAGAAGGTTGAAGCAATTTGCTCAAAGTCACAGGACCCTAAGAGGTGGAGTTATTTTGATTGGGTATGAGATACTCTATCCCTAAAACAGTGTTCTTCTAATAGCGCTATTTGAATCTCATATAGCTTTTAGTTAATTGTTAAATCAGTGAATGTTGGTGTTAAGGCTATTACATTAAAATTCTAAAAAGGTCATTGTCTTCTAAGTATCTCACTTAGAAGAATGAGCCCTATGTGGGTGCTTAAATATGAAAGCCCAATGAATCACTGAGCACCCAAGCTCCAATTAACACTAGGAATTGTAATTATATACATTTCTTGTGAAAAGACTTGATGGCTGGTTTGAATTACTAGCTGTGTGGCTTTGGGAAGATTACTTAATATCTTTAGGCTCTAGTTTCTTTGTATGCAAAGTGGGGAAGATACACCTCT